TTATTAAAAGTGATTATAATATATATATATATATATATACCAACTAGTACAATTACAATAAAACAACATTTTGAAAAGAGTTGTAACTATACAAAAAGAAGTTTTAACAAATTAAAATTAAATAAGCAGAGAAGTGAAATTAGTATTATATAAACTTGCATAATGAGCATATATTACTTATGATAAAAATTCTAATTAAAATCATAAACCAACTAGGTGTAAGTGGCATTATTCCTTATGTTATATATTTTTATATATATATTATGTTCTATATTTATATATATATATATATATATATATATATATATATATATATATAGGTGTATATTATATCGGTTTCCATCAAGGTAATAGGTACCGTGAAATCTGAACATTTCCTTATCAAAAATCGATAAGACTTTTATCCAATTTTTAATTACCTAATTATTTGATAATTATTTCAGTACTATTTTTTTATTCGCTACCTAATAAACCATACGCAATTTTGATTAATTAAAATGAAGAACGTTTTGAGTTTAATAATTGTAATTGCCATTTTTAAAATCACTTCAGCTATACAATGTGCAGATATTAATTTTAACGATGGTCAATTGCATTTGTCAAAATGTACTGGTTCAGTGAGTTGGATGCCTCCTTGGGCAGTTCTGGCTTTCGAAGACGAAACCGATTTTGAACCACGAAATGAAAAAACAAGCCATTATATTGCTAAACCTTCGGGCAGCTGGGCAGATGTCTGTGGAGAAACGGAATCCTATGTAGCTGATGAATATTCTTACGTTGTAGTAGGGATTTTATATTGAAAAACTAAGCGTACAAGGATATGGTGATATCATTCTTGAATTGTTCATCGACGGTGATAAAGAGATTGAAAAGAAAATACCATATACAAATACGGCAAAGGAATGGAGAGAAGAAGAAATAAGAGTAACTAAAAGTGGTTCACTAATGGTAAGCTACCAATCAGTATTTCTAATTTAGAAATCCGCGTTGAATGGTTTACATTTATATAAAAATCTAGACAAAATGCGATTCTAACATCATAAAATAAATACAGTACTGATTTTTAAAACATTTTTATTATTCCATACTATCCTTATTATTCCATACGTTTCGTAAAATTCTATGTCATCATCATACATATTAACACAACTTGTAAATAATTATTAATTGGAATAAAGCACTGATTAGTTTTTTATAAAATATTCTTAGAAATTAAATCAACGAGATCAGAAGCAAGTTTAATTTCTACATACACCCCCCCCCCACACACACATATAAATATATATATATATATATATATATATATATATATATTAGGGTGGTCCTCAATATGGATATTTTCGAATTTCCTTGCTCCCAAGGGCTCAAATGGTTCCAAATTGATGAAAAACAATTCTCTAAAAGTTTTAGCTCTTAATATTAACTTTTAGATAGTGCGCAATTCAATCAAAATTCGTATGGAAATAGCATGGAAAAATTTTTGAAAGTTAAAAAAATTTTTTTTAGTTATCACTTAGCGACAAATAAATTAGAAGTAAATATTCGTGTCATTTTTTATTGAAAATTCGACGCTCTGCAAAATTTTTGAAAAAAAAATTCATGCTATTTCCAACAAAACTTTGATTGAATTACGCTCTGAAAAGACAATATCAAGAGCTAAAACTTTCAGATAATTGTTTTTTATCAATTTGAAACCATTTGAGCCCTTTGGAACAAGGAAATTCGCAAATGTTCATATTAAGGACCACCCTAATGTATATATATATATATATATATATATATATATATATATATATATATATATATATATATGGTTACAGTCTTATTACTATTTATAAAATTTTCACAGCAAAATGTATTTCGATGCCTAAATGCAAAATGCCATTTATTTAAAATATAATAAACTTTAAATGTCATTCATTTTTCAGGTACGTTTGACTCTAGGAACAAACGAAAAAATAAAGACAGGCCTTGATTATATCAAGATATATAACACGAATAGCGATATTGATGAATGTAAACCGCAATCAGCTACAAGTGAATCAACCACGCCTAAAAGTATAACAACCCCAGATCCAACCACGCCAACCACGACTTCAAAAGCGCCGATTACGACTACAAATGTACCTATCACTGAATCTGATAAACCAGTTACTACCACTACAATTGGGCCGAGCTTTACCATAACAGAATCAACACCAGAAACAACAACCATTCCATGGTATCCGACTACCAGCACCTGGAATCCTACCGTCACAACATGGATACCTAGTACACCTACAGAACCTTTACCAGAAACAACAACATTATCACCAAGCTCAAATGTTACAACTACGAAACCAAATATCTCTGGTCCACATGTGGACATAAAAGTCAATGTTGACGTAGATGCAGATCAGGCAGCTGATGTTGATGTTCATGTAAATGTTAATGTACATTAATTGCAAATCGCAAATGTATTAAAATAAAAAATAACTGGTGTAACATACATGTCTTTATATTTGTTGTTACCTTTATTAACTTCGCGTAGGGTAAGTTACTATAATCGTCCAAAAATCGAAATTGGAATATTTTGCACTTTTTCACGTTTTGAAGATTTCTGAACATTTTAGCATATCTCAGAAAAAATGGAGGTGTGTATGTATGTATGAATACAATTTTTCGGCCACGTTTTCGGGCGCACGGACAACCGATTTGAATGGTTCAAAAAACATTCGATTCCTATTGATAGGGAGATGTGCTGATTAGTTTTTGGCAAAGGCAAGCCCAGCAGTTCAGGAGATACGGACCAAAGCGTGCAGAAAATAGAAATCGAGTTTTTGAGAGAATGGAGTAACCGATTTGAATGATCCAAAAAACTTTCAATTTGTAATGATTGGGAGAAGAAGTGATTTGTTTTTGGCAAATGCACGTCCAGCCGTTTCGAAGATACAGAGCTAAATGTACAAAAAATTGCAGTTTTTGAGAGAACAAAGCAAATTTGAAAAAAAAAATATTCCTTAGCACTTATATACTTGAAAAAAAATTTTAACTTTGTAATTCAGTTTATATAATCCTTATAAATATTATACAATGTAACAGTATTTATTATAATCTATTGGAAAACATTTAACATGCCTAAAACATTTTGTTACGCTGCGGGAAATTCCAGCAATTTGCCTTAAGGTACGATCCCATACACCACTAATTAACTTTAACTTATTATATGTTATAGAAATCCAAACAAATCAAAAATGAACAATATGGCATATCTTAGAAAAATGGATGTATGTGAGTGTGTGTATGTTTGGATACAATTTTTTGTCTACGATTTCGGGCGCACGAATCAACCGATTTGAATGATTCAAAAAACATTTGATTCTTATTGACGAGAAGACGTGCTGATTAGATTTTTGGTAAGGCGGATGTAGCGGTTTCGGAGATACAGAGGAAAAAGTAAAAAAAAAAGATACTTGGCGGTCAAAAATGATCATTAGACATAAGCACATCAAATTATCAGATATTTGATAATTTTTTTAAAAATGAGTACTACTTTTGTTACAGTTTTGTACTAAGATTGTTAATTTTTAAAGTTTACTTATACAGTAGCAAATTTCAAAATTTTGAGAAAAAATTTTTTGTCAAAATTTTCAGAAATATACAAAGCCTCATACTTCAAATATTTTTTTTTTATTATTATTATTACTCAGTTTTATTTATACTTCAAATATGAATTATAAATTTACAATTCAGTTTGAAAATGTATATATTTCAAATGCGTTATTCTGATCGTAAAAAATATATTCTCAGATGGATTCATTCAGCATCTTTTGCTAATGTAAACATTCTCAAGTGTTTTGAGCGATAATATCGTCACTGTATATTTTATGAACGATAAAATGTATAGTGATTATAATTATGTATTTGAAAATGTTTAAAACAATTGTTATTAATCATTGATCGATATTTATTGATTACTGCTTTTTGCCTCGAATGTTTAATTCTGGTACGGAAAGTTCCAGCAAATTGCCTTAAGACACGATGTAATGCCTCACTAGTTAACTACCCGTAGGGAAAGTTATAGTAATCGCAAAAAAATCGAAAATAAAATTTTTTATATATCTTTACGTTTCAGAGGTTTTTGAATATTTTGGCATACCTTATTAGAAAAAATGGATGTATGTGTGTGTGTGTATGTGTGTGTGAGTGTGTGCGTGTGTGTGTGCGGATACAAATTTTCGTCGATGATTTCGGGAACACGGATGAAGCGATTTGAATAATTCAAAAAACATTCGTTTCGTATTGATAAGGAGAACGTGCTGATTAGTTTTTGGTAAAGGCAGGTCTAGCCGTTCCGTAGATACGGGGCAAAAAGTACCAAAAACTGTAACTCAGTTTTTAAGAGAACGGATCGTCCGATTTCAATAATTCAAAAAGCATTTCACTTGTATTAACAAGATGAAGAACTGATCAAATTTTCATAAAGGCAGGTCTAGCGGTTTCGGAGATCTAGTAACAAAAGTAAAAAACAAAGCCATTTAGCGGTCAAAAATGATCATTCGACATATGCACATCAAATTATCGAAGATTTTATAGAGATTTCAACAATAAGTATAAATTTTGTTTACATTCCTATGGGTTCCGTACCAATGTTTATCCGTTAGACGGCGACGCGGCGCTTATGCGCTTCGATATTCCGTCTCTATGCAGTTAAAGCAGTACGGTTGCTTTGAAAAAAAGTTCAGAATTTCCAAAATATTTAAAAAAAAAGTTTCTTCAGTCTTTTTTTTTTCAAAAAAAAGTAAATTTTTGTCAAAAATGTATGGTTTCTCAAAAATCTAATTTTTTCAGAGTAAATTTTTCTCAAAAATATTAATATTTTTTAAAAAAATAATTTTTGGTGTGGAAAGCACGTTTTTAGTTTTTAGTTTTTTTTAAATTTGCGCCAATACTGTTCTTATGTTGGTACGCTTGATATGAGTTTAGACATTTGACAGCTTGCGACTGTTTATTATCGCAAACAAAGTAGGAGAAAAATACACGAGTCGTAAATTGATAAGAATTGTAACCTTGAAAACGTTTAATAACAGTTTAGAAAAAGTTTTGCAGTTTATCAGAAGTCTAATTATATATTCTAAAAAGCAGAACAATAAAAAGTAAGTATCGTTATGGTAACTTATTCTTTTTGTACTTTTGTGTGTTTACATTATTGATTAACAAACTCCGTAATAAGTTCGTTAAGCTTTGATGATTTATTCAGAAATTTTGTTTAAAAGTGTTAAGTTGAAAATTACATCAGGAAATTATATCATTAATTAATAAAAATGTTATGTCAAGGCTTAATTATAGAAAAAATTGTACATGAATAAACTTAACCTCAAACTTTTATGATTGATCAATAAATCGGTCGTAAAAGTTAGAATTGCTACGTGAGACTTAAAATTCATAGTTGTTTTGGCATTTTTAATATCTAAATCTAATAATAAAATAAATTTGATAAATATCTAATATAAGTCTTTCAAGAGCAGAATTAGATTCTAGTAAAAATAATAAAGATTTTTTTATTTCAGGAAGTGATGAGTTTGCAGTCATGGGTTTAAATAAATGAAGTATAAATAAAAAGGTCAGTCTATAAGTAAATTTATATTTGAATGTATAAACTTTAATATTTGAATGCTTTACGCTTCACACTTTTTTCACAAAACTAATATATAGAGTACATTTCCTGACTATTGCAAATTTTAGGACAATATATCCTTAATATTCTCCTAATAAGATCAAGATGTATTGCTATTTCCAGAAAGGACTTGAAACTGTTTTTGTTTTAGGTCAGAATTGTTTAATTGGAGTTCTATCAAAACCTTTTTATACTTGGCATTCTATTAGTCTTGAAAATATTATAGTTTTCTTTGTTTACAGATTTTTTATTTTCTTATACTTTTTACATAGGGACTTGACTTTATTATATTCTTACGCTAACAATGTCTTTTATATACCGTCATAATCTAAAGCGACATACTGTGATTTTCTGTCATAAATGATATCTTATTGATCTTGGTTTGCTTATATCAGCTTCAAATGGATTGATTTCTGGTTAATCACTTAAATTGTGATTTTCAATAAGAGAAAGTATACTTCTGCACAATAAATATAAGTATATATTCATCCAATAAAAATAATCATGTTATAACCATGAGTAGCCTAAGATGTATGTACTCAGAGTTTTGTTTGAATAATTATTATACAAAAGTCCTTGCAAAATATAAATAATTGTAGAACTATGTAGCTGGACTGCACGTGTTCTACTGAAAATAGGAAATAAATTATTTTCGATGATTTTTACTTACAAAGTTTATTAAGTAAATTTTTATTTGAATGTATAAACTAAATATTTGAATGCTTTACGCTTCACACTTTTTTCACAAAACTAATATATAGAGTACATTTTTTGACTATTGCAAATTTAAGGACAATATATCCTTAATATTTTCCTAATAAAATCAAGATTTATTGCTTTTTCCAGAAAGGACTTTGAAACTGTTTTTGTTTCAGATCAGAATTGTATAATTGGAGTTCTATTGAAACCTTTAGATAGTGGGCTTTGTATTGGTCCTAAAATATTATTGTTTTCAAATATAAAATGACGAAATAATAGATGTTATTCATACTCTATAAATATAATATTTATTTATTCATACTCTTCATATAGAGATTTTACTTTATTACATTCTTACGCTAACAATGTCTTACTCGTTTTATATACGGTCATAATCTAAAGCAATATTGTGATTTTCTGTCATAAATGTTATCTTATTGATCTAGGTTTGCTTATATCAGCTTCAAATGGATTGATTTCTGGTTAATCACTTAAATTGTGATTTTCAATAAGAGAAAGTATACTTCTGCACAATAAATATAAGTATACATCCATCCAATAAAAATAATCATGTTATAGCCATGAGTAGCCTAAGATGTATGTACTCAGAGTTTTGTTTGAATAATTATTGAACACAACATTAAAAGTCCTTGCAAAATATAAATAATTGTAGAACTATGTAGCTGGACTGCACGTATTCTACTGAAAATAGGAATTAAATTATTTTCGATAATTTTTCTTACAAAGTTTATTAAGTAAATTTATACTTGAATGTATAAACTAATTATTTGAATACTTTACGCCTTGCACTATTTTTCACAAAACTAATATATAGAGTACATTTTCTGATTCTTGCAAATTTAAGGACAATATCTTCAATATTTTCCTAATAAGATCAATATTTGTTGCTTTTCTAGAACTGTTTTTGTTTTACATCAGAATTGTATAATTGGAGTTTTTAACAGAATTCCTTTAGATACTTGGCAGATACCTCTGAATACTTGGCATTGTATTAGTCCTAAAAATATTGTTTTGTTTCCAGGTTTCAAATATAAAATTAGTAAATAATAGATGCAAAACATATTCTACAAATATAATTGTTTATTTGTTTATACTCTATATAGAGATTTTATTTTATAACATTCTTATGCAAACAATGTCTTACTCGTTTTATATATGATCATAATCTAAGGTGATATTGTGATTTTCAGTCATAAATATTATCTTATTGATCAAGATTTGCTTATATCAGCTTCAAATGGATTGATTTCTGTTAGTATTTTGTTTCTTAAATTGTGATTTTCAATGAGATAAAGAATACTTCTGCATATTAAATATAAGTATACATCCATCCAATAAAAGTATATCATGATTTAGCCATGAGCAACATAGGATGTATGTACTCAGAGTTTTGTATGAATAATTATTGGACACAAAAATAAAAAATCTTTGCAAAACATAAATAATTGTAGATCTATGTAGATTGCATGTGTTCTACTGAAAGTAGGAAATAAATTATTTTCGATGAATAATACTTACAAAGTTTAACATTATTATTATGAATGTGATATGCAAAACAATTACAATGAGATATTTATTTGAAATCTATGCGTGAACTATGTGACTTAAAAGTTAGTGTAGTGATGAGAGAATAGTTGATCTGTGTTACTTCTTTCCGTCATTTTTCTAGTTGCACTCTCCACACTGTTGCTCATGTGTGGTGGTCCACACGTGAATACACCAATATTCCTTGCCTTAAAATGTTAAAATAGACATGTGAAATTATTTGTTATGTTCTATGATGATCTTGGAAAAGCAATAAAAATTGCATCTTTCTCATGATTTTGATTTATCAAGAATTCCCAAAGTTTTCAAAAAACTTCAAAGTTCCCAAAATAAAATTAAATTTTAAAATGTTAGATGGATTTTTTCATTTAAATCTATAATTTCATATTTCATCTTTTGATTAGAGATTTAAAAAATTGATTATTTATTAATTTAAGTAATTTTTTTTTAAAAATAGCAAATTTATCTAGATGACCATGTAATATTCCACTAGTGACAGTGCCCATTGTGATACTGACCGATTGATGTATTTGGCCTATGTGTTTGAAAAACTGGTAAAAATCTGGTCGGCCAAAATGTGTTACAGCTCGTAGTCCAGTAAATAGTGATCGTCCAGCTGTTTTCTGGAACTGCGTCTCACATATGTACTGAAAATACAATATTCAAATTAGTTTACATTGCCCTGCTGTACTACTTAAAGTGAAGTAAACCTAATTGAAATTTATAGCTTATTAATATATTTCAGATAGTAAGTCAAATATAAAATTAAATTTAGAAATTTTTATGAAGTTAAAAAACCTATAATATTTTGTATTGTATCAAAGATTCATGTTATGATCATACCAAAATGATTCTAATTTATTTCAATTGTTATTAAAACCTTCAGCTATTATTAATGAGAGAAAATTAACATAAAGTTGTGATTACCAGTAATATAGTTCTGAGATCGAATTTTTTGTAGAACTGTGTGATGAATATATGGACAACAACTGTTTCATTGATATCAGTCTGCTCCAGCTCCCTTATGATGTCTACTAACCACTCGAATTGTCTTTGGGTTCTTGTTACCCATAAAAAGTATACCTGAAAGTGAAAGCATTGAAAAGATATTAAAGTCCCTATAAAATTGGAATAACCATGTTTAATTTGGAATATGTAATTTGGATATTTGGTATTTTTCTTTCACTCGAATTTTTATTCAATTAACTTTTAAGGTGATTCAAATACTGCTGAGTGCTGACTAAAAGAATCATCAATTTTCAACTCAAAAATAACTTATAAATATTCAATATTAAGTAAATTTTATTGCATATTGATTTTTCACATAGTAATGTCTATTTTACCTTTTTTTTCACGTTTTCTTTCTGCAAGTTTGATTTGTAAACAATATCTTTGAGTATAGAAGCAAATGGTGTGACACCAATGCCTCCTCCTACTAATATCGCCACATCACATTTGTGCCAGTCTTGATGAGCTTCTCCATATGGTCCATCTAATCGAATCTAAGAAATAATTATTTTATCAGTACTTGAACTTTTAATTTTTGCTGAATTAAATCACCTAAAATTCATTAGATCAAATTAAATAAAAGATTGCTCTTACACTAGGTTTTCCACCGACTCTTGGAATTGCTGGATCGAAAACTTTTCTAATATTGGTCGTCCAGGGGCCCACTGCTCGAATATGAACTGAAAGATGGTTTTCATTAGGACTTGAGGATAGGGTGAAAGGATGAAATTCGTTCGCGTTCAGTTCCGAACATGCAATCCGCACCCATTGTCCTGATTTGTATGTGAAGTCGTGAGGTTTCTTGAATTTTAGCAGAGTCACCTCTGGAACATAGAGAAATAAGGTATTCATAAGCAAATGAATGAATTATATATATATATAATATATATATATATATATATATATATTAGAAGGTAGAGTTTTTTTTAAAAAAAACATTTCTTTATTTATTTACTCTCGATGTTTCGGAACTAGGTACGTTCCATCTTCAGGACATCATGATCTTGATAAGATTTAAACAAACAATATATTTAAGAAAATAGAAAAAGTACATTTCAGAAGTATAACAATATAATCAAAATGAATGTAATGAAAATAAATGAATGGATTATACTACAAAATATTAGAAATGTTAGAAAATTTGAAAGTGTTTAAAAAAAAAACGGTTACGAAAAAACAAAATTAATTACCTATATGATTTATTATACACTAACGCTCTTTCACTAAAAATGATTTTATCAAAAAAGTGATTTTATAAATTTCTTTTCAGACAATCTTTTTTATTTAATGTTATGTCTTTTTTGAGTTTGTTATGTGAGACAAAAAGTATTATCCCATCGTTTTCAGTGAAAAAGTGTTAGTAATCAATCATACAGCTAATTAATTCTGTATTTTCTTAACCCTTTCTTATAAAATAAGCCTTCAAATTTTCTAACATTTCTAATATTTTGTTATATAATCCATTCATTTATTTTCATTACTTTCATTTTGATTATATTGTCATGATAAATGTAAATGAGGCATATGTAATGGTAAACATTGCATGTGCTAGCCTAATTTGTAAGTAATGAATTTTACTTTCAAATTATATGGAGCTGGCACATTTCATTACAATATTCTAAATTTTGATATATTAATAATGTGCATTTCATTAATTTATCAATTTATTCATTAATATTAATTAGGCATGCATAGGCTGTAATTGTTTGAATTAGACTTGCATAGGCATGGCTAGTGAATCTATTGGGATTTCTAAAATTATGCGGAAAAATTTACAGCTTGACCATAGATTAGTATTGTACCTAGTTCTCTCTCTGAAACATCGGTAAATACTTGTATAAATGGAGAATCCTGCAAATCAGTGATTATGCATGATTTATCAAAATTTTAATTGCATGTATTTTATCGATGTTAACTTTTCTCTCGTCAATATCTAAGAATTGTTTTGAAAATATTTCT